TCTACCAACTTTTCCGAAAACATTTAAAGACACATCTATTTGAAATGAAATAGACTGATCTGCACAAGCGCCTGTGAGCAGCCTAGCTGGAACTCGGCGCTATAGAAGTAGATTATTATTATTATTATTATTATTATTATTCGAAGTTATATTATGAAGAGAGTGAGTGAGTTAGGTGTAGGGCTGTTTTGAACAGTATTCCAGTTATATCAATGCATGACAACTTAATGTGGAAGGAACCACATAGTGTTGCAGGTCTCAGCTGTTTATGACTCTGGTGAGGTGAGATTAGAAGCAACAAAACCCTAATTCCACATCAATAAGAATTCTCTGATGAAAGCAGAGTCGATTGTACAAGTGTGACTATATCATGAGTATATATCTATTTCAGCAGCATTACAGTTGTACAATGTTGTTTGTAAACAAATTGAGTCTGGACCATGGGTATGGTGATGACAGACCAAGAACTCTAAGATGCTTCGGTGAAAGATCAAAGACGCCGACAGTAATTTTTCAGACGATAATGTGCACTTTTTGCATTACGTCACAATGTATTGGCGTCACTGCACCATTCTAGTCTGCCCCCTCGTAATCGAACAATTTTGCATTACATCACAATGTAAGTGACTTCACGATGCAACTTACGTTGGTAGTAGAAATGCGACGTTCATATTGCCCCATATGGTTTACGTTAATCACACGTGTAATTAAAATAATTTAAAGAAGATATATCATCCGAACGTAAACCGTCATCGAACGGTTTAGCATTTGTTTTTTCTGGTAACGTTCATCTTAACGTAGGGGGGCAGACACATCAATAGAACAGCACCAGTTAGCCCTGTGCGAGGATTCTTAATTTAGGTCACCGACACCGTCGTTTGTTTTCTGCCTTAGATTAAGCATATTATCCTTAGAAAGTATTAAATTTGGCATCTTAGCTTTATAAAGTTAAAGCACTCGGACGCAAGAGTCCTCATGTTTTAACTATAATAGTTCAGGGCGAAAGTGTGCTTTATTACACTATACATGGTGGTAGAGCAAACTGTATTTCTTAAACATATCCAGCAGAACCAGGATTCAAACCCACACAATCATTTCCCAAGGGAAACAACTCTCAACAGTTAAGCAATGATGCTAATAATAATAATAACAGTTATATGGCACTGAACTCCACACCACAGGGCATGCTCTAAGCGTATACAAAAATATGGATAAACAATTGTCAGTGATTATTAAACAGATGGGTCTTTAGGCCAGGTAGTCAAGGAAGGGGCACATCTGAGGTGAAGAGGAAGAAAGTTCCATAGCACAGCAGAAGAGTGTTCAAAGGATCGGGCACTAAATGTGGTACTTCAGATTACTGTGCCATCCGTGCTCCCTATTTAAAGATGGCCTTTAAACCATCAAGATTAAAAAATGGAAGACATATCTGAAGATTCCATTCATAGCACTAGTACTTAGAAAACAAACCTTGCAACCTGCTTAAAATATAGGGACGTATTAGCAGTGTATGAATTAAGGCCCACCCAACAGCCCCAGACGGGCTAGATATCTGCTGGACGGTCTAATTTTACACCTAGCCAGCCCGATGGACGGGTGAAAAAAATATTCAAATAATGTGTCCACTGGCACTGTCTATTTAGTATGTAAGAAGGACTGGTTAAATCTCTTCTGGGCTGTAAGTTTTTGAAGTTACTAGCTCAGATGTCTGGCTGGGTTTTGCGCTTATTTCATACACTGGTATTAGTTAAAGAAAGTTGCTTTCTCGTCACATTTTACTTTAAGTGAGCGAGTGAGTAGGGCTTTAAACATTACAACAGTCATATCAAGGCTTGTCAGACTATTGTGGAAGGAAAGTGAAGGAGATGAAGGTCAGAGACATTTACCAGTTTGGTGAAACCCATGATCACATAATAATGTTGCCAAACCTAGAAACATAGCCAGGACATATCTGGAATTTTATCCACAATCTTACGGTCTGTTGTATCTCTGAAATATTCATCCCTGCACAGCAAACTGCTTAGATAACATTGACTATTGAATCAGCAAGCAATGGGTGTAATATCTCGACTGTCATTTCACATAAAACACAACATCATTCGACAGTTTCACTTTTAATCTATGATCATTGGTCATCACTTCCTATTGCAAACAGTTTATCAAAACACCATTTTACTCAACAATTTCACTTTAAATCTATGATTATAGATCACATGACTCCCTACTGCAAACAGTTTGACTGAACACCACATCGTTCAACAATTTCACTTTCAATCTATGATTATAGATCACAAGACTCCCTACTGCAAACAGTTTGACTGAACACCACATCGTTCAACAATTTCACTTTCAATCTACGATTATTGATCACAAGACTCCCTACTGCAAACAGTTTGACTGAACACCACATCGTTCAACAATTTCACTTTCAATCTACGATTATTGATCACAAGACTCCCTACTGCAGACAGTTTGACTGAACACCACATCGTTCAACAATTTCACTTTCAATCTACGATTATTGATCACAAGACTCCCTACTGCAAACAGTTTGACTGAACACCACATCGTTCAACAATTTCACTTTCAATCTACGATTATTGATCACAAGACTCCCTACTGCAGACAGTTTGACTGAACACCACATCGTTCAACAATTTCACTTTCAATCTACGATTATTGATCACAAGACTCCCTACTGCAAACAGTTTGACTGAACACCACATCGCTCAACAATTTCACTTTCAATCTACGATTATTGATCACAAGACTCCCTACTGCAAACAGTTTGACTGAACACCACATCGTTCAACAATTTCACTTTCAATCTACGATTATTGATCACAAGACTCCCTACTGCAGACAGTTTGACTGAACACCACATCGTTCAACAATTTCACTTTCAATCTACGATTATTGATCACAAGACTCCCTACTGCAAACAGTTTGACTGAACACCACATCGTTCAACAATTTCACTTTCAATCTACGATTATTGATCACAAGACTCCCTACTGCAGACAGTTTGACTGAACACCACATCGTTCAACAATTTCACTTTCAATCTACTACTATAGATCACAAGACTCCCTACTGCAAACAGTTTGACAAGATGCATGGAGGAGCAGCACTTCAGATACACAACGTCATGCAATGAACACATTTCGTGCACCAGACTTCCTTGATGCGAATGTATCCTGAGGCCGATAAATACGATCCGTTCATTGAGCCTGCATTGCTGGCAACATTACAGTTGGAAATAGGTTTTCCTTTGAAGCCTCTAAGTAATAAACGAATATTCCAATTGTTCGGCAAGACCTTCAATGTTTTCTATGCATTTCATTGGCAATTTGAAATAAATACCTTCTTACCAACAAAGCAGAGAAATGTTTTTGTTAAAGGTAGATAGCACCATAATGCATCAAATTCTTTATGTTCTTCGAAATAAACTTTTTAGAAGCATCTACATCAAAGCTCGGATTGTCACAAATATGATGGTTACAGCAGCTTGAGTGATGAAGTAGCAACAAAAGGTTATGATGAAAGGTTTAAGAAGTTATAAAACAGCACTGTTTCATATGCAATTATCATCACTATGTTTTTCTGTAGACAGTCACAATCACACAAGCCTTAAGGCAGTACTGATGCTTATTCTGGCTGCATGTTCATATAGAAACAAATGGAGGCCGACTAAAGAAACAAACATGTGTTAAAATCAGAAATGTGTATGAATTATCTGTTTTGTACCCTAAAACTGTTTGCTGGGTTGAGTATAAGTCGGCAATGTGGTCAGAAAATTATATGTAGTTCAGATGCTGCTTTTTTGTCATTTTTCTGTTTGTTTTCTGAATACATTCCCAATTCTTTTTTAAGCCATCTTCCCAAGGCTAGGGAGATAACTGACAACAAAAGTCCAGTTCCTACCTTGAAGAACAACACTGGAATTTTGTTTCTCGCTGGTAGTGCCAACTGTCATGTCCACGATTTGTATATTGGCGCCTGAAGTCATAGCAACCATAATGACACAATGCGGTAGCCCTGGCAGGAGTGATTGAAGTAAAACAGCCAACTTTTTTTTCCCCTGTTGTCTTTTCCTCTACATGATCCCCAGAAAATATATTTGTTGGTCGAAGCAGATACACAACACCCCACGAGAAAGGTCTTGACATGTGATGATCTGAAATTTTCAACATGGTTGCCATGACATTAAAAAAACTGTGCAATATTTTCTGAAATTCTGTGTTCTCTCATGATAATTGAATACATAATTGTGCTTATATGACGGTAATTTATCTGACATGTCCATTTCTCTACTTTTCCTTAATGTGACCAAAAAGGATCATGGTGTGCACTGTTTCTTTGTGGTTATTCAATCTTTAGTTCCTGAAGACCCATTTATGCCATTATTGGTGAAACAACCTGAATTTCAAAACACAGTCAAGCCAAAGCTAATAATGCCCACACAAAACACACAAAACAAAAATGAAATGTGCATGTCGGAATGTTTGACACGAAAAATAATACTCCATCGAATCTATGACATAACTGAATTGTTGACTAAATTCAGTTTGAAAATTAAATGGCTAGGTTACAAGTAACGTGCTTGATTATTTATTGTCAAACCCCTCTGGATCGCACAATCCAGTGATTGACATAATGAGCATTGATGTCGCCATTGCGAATCGATGACATACATGAACCAAATCAGTGAGTTGGACAACCCTATCCTGTTAATCACTTTAAGATCCAGTTGGTTGTCCCTTACAACAATGGATCGCAAGGGATCTATTCTGAGCTACAATCTTCCAGGGGATGTTTGACAGCATATGATGATGAACAAGAGAACTGTGGAAGCTTGGCATCCAGGGTGATGTGATCAACGATATATTTCCCTCCCTGAAGCACAATTCCGTCAACCATTGCATCCAGTTGTTCAACTTGTTTCGACGAAGATAAACATTGACACAGCTCGGAACACATAGATGGGATGAACAGATCACCATGTGCTCTTGTCAGACAAAGTCTCGGTGAAGATATTCTATAGATTTTGCCTATTGGCAAACACATTCAACTTGGTACTTTGTTGACCTAATGTTTCATTGTTAGTGAACAGAATTTACTGATGATCTCAACAATCTTCAACAGCTGTATTTGACCATCTAATCATTCTGTGATAAGCAAAATGATAACGTGTATTATGCGTAAGAAAACATGACACCATGTCGAGAGCTCATGTTAGAGAAGGTCCCAAGGTATGCTAGTCGTTAGAAACAACTCAGTGACTACACTTATTGCGTATCACTGTACTCTGAGAATCGCTGCTCATTATATGAATTACTTGATACTCTAGTCAAGTCTCAAATATTTACAGGATGATGTCATGTAGATTATGTCTTTAAACAACAAACAAGAATGAAAATCCACAATATCCATATAAAAGAGCACTGAAAAGTTTAAAGCATATTTTTCTTGACAATCTGCACCAATAAGTATTTCTGTTTCCAAAAATGTCTTAATCAAATGAACAGTGCTTCTAAATATATGAATAACTAATAACATTCATAATCAGTAACCACTGGCAATTATTCTGCATTGGGAGTGAAGTTAGAAGATTAAAAATTGTCCCTTTTGCAAGATTTTCTTTCTGTTTAGAACAGGTCCCTAAAGTCAACCAATGTTTGTCATTTCTGGTTATAACTGAAGGAAAACCCAGTTGTATGGATAGTCAACTTATTTATTGCAATGAGTGTGACGTTTTGGTGTAGGTACTAACACCGTTATCAACCAAGTGACTACGCCGAAACTTCGCATTCATTGCAATAAAGAAGTTGACTATTCATACAACTTGGTTTTCCTTCATCTTTAAAACTTCTAAAATTGCCTCTCAAAGTGGTTATAACTGGTTGCTATAGCAACCTGTGCTTGTCAATGATGAACATTTCTATGTTAGAACTGGTCCCTACAGCAATCTGTGCTTGTCAATGATGAACATTTCGATGTTATAACTGGTCCCTATAGCAATCTGTGCTTGTCAGTGATGAACATTTCTTTGTTATAACTGGTCCCTATAGCAGTCTGTGCTTGTCAATGATGAACATTTCTATGTTAGAACTGGTCACTATAGCAACCTGTGCTTGTCAATGATGAACATTTCTATGTTAGAACTGGTCACTATAGCAATCTGTGCTTGTCAATGATGAACATTTCTAAGTTAGAACTGGTCACTATAGCAACCTGTGCTTGTCAATGATGAACATTTCTATGTTAGAACTGGTCCCTATAGCAACCTGTGCTTGTCAATGGTGAACATTTCTATGTTATAACTGGTCACTATAGCAATCTGTGCTTGTCAGTGATGAACATTTCTATGTTATAACTGGTCCCTAAAGCAACCTGTGCTTGTCATTGATGAACATTTCTATGTTATAACTGGTCACTATAGCAATCTGTGCTTGTCAATGATGAACATTTCTAAGTTAGAACTGGTCACTATAGCAACCTGTGCTTGTCAATGATGAACATTTCTATGTTAGAACTGGTCCCTATAGCAACCTGTGCTTGTCAATGATGAACATTTCTATTTTAGAACTGGTCACTATAGCAACCTGTGCTTGTCAATGATGAACATTTCTATGTTAGAACTGGTCCCTGTAGCAACCTGTGCTTGTCAGTGATGAACATTTCTGGTTAGAACTATGCATTCATTGCAATAAAGAAGTTGACTATCCATACAACTGGGTTTTCCTTCATCTTTACACCTTCTAAAAATCTTTTTAAAGTGGTTATAACTGGTCCCTATAGAAACCTGTGCTTGGCTTCAGAGGAGTCACAACAATACAGACATTTTGTGGAGCAGGGTCTACGGACATTTATCATTTCTTTTCATGTGAACATTTCTAATTGTAGACTGACTGACTGACGGACTGAATATAGTTTTACCCCGGCAGGTGACACCAGAAATGGGCTTCACAAATTGTACCCATGTGGGGAATCAAACCCGGACCTTCGGCGTGACGAGCGAATGCTTTAACCACTAGGCTACCCCTCTACCCCTCTAGGCCCCTCTAACTGTAGAAAAATGGGAAGTCATCCTATTCATCTCTCCAAATGAGTTGGTTGACGTTTAACGCTGTAGTCAGTACTAGTGGTTTATACCCGGACTGTCCACAACAACAAATAATCCGTCCAAATTACTAATGTCGACAGTCCGGGGAAAGGGAGATGATGTTCTACATTAGTGACTTCACGCCCTGTGTTCTCGATATTAACAAACCAATTAAAACAGAGTGATATATATATAGAAGACAATATATTTATTTAGTCAATATAACAACATGCATGTATCATATGTCACACAATATAACATATTTATATATATATTTCAGAAATCTCACACAATATATATTTGTGTGTGTGGGTGTGTGTGTGTGTTATAGAAATAAGTGATTTCTGCATGTGTATAAGCAATAAATATATAAAAGATGAGTGCAGATATTTCTTCTTGACAAAACTCCTTTATATCTGCACTAAAGTAATCGGTAATGTTCAGCCAAGATGAAGCAACTCTGACACAGAGTCTGTGTAGTTCAAGTCAGTAAGTCTGTTGGCAAGAAGGACCGAATCCTAGCGCCGATGATTCGGTAGCGACGTCTACTGACGGGATCTCTGCTGTCCTTGGATCTGCTCAATTTTAACTTCAGTAGCTGGCTGTTCTTTTTGCAGCATTCGCACAACCTCAAACACATTCAGGTGTGTCTTTATGGCATACTTGTTGATTTTGTTGTGCCAACCTGCCAAATTATTGTTAGTTCGGTGTCCATCATTTTCAAAATAAGTCCATGCACCTTCTACCCAGGTGGTAGTAATGGAATCCAAATGTATCCAAATAAATATTTTTAACAGCATTTCAATAATCCTTCTACTCCCAATATCACAAAATAATTTGTAAGCTCTCTGTTTCTTTCCGGTATTTTTTTTGCATGTTAAACTCCAAAATGGTAATCCTTCCAATCGCATAGCGTATTTTAAAAATAATAGTTTGTTTGCAACCTTAATTCTCTTACAAATTGTTAAAAAGACATTCTCTATAATTAATGTAATTCATTTACTCATGAAACGAACATGGTCACTTGCAAATCACTAAGCAAACATTCTCTTCACTAATTAACACCGTCACAGTATGTTGAGCACGCGATGTCGATACTCCGGGTTTTTTGTTCTGTCGACGATAAGCAACATCCTATTTTTCATTTGTCGACAGATCGGGCTGACACAGTACTAGTCCAGTTGTTATGTGTCTGGACAAACCAGTGGGAATTCATGACAAGCAATTGAATGAGACAAAACCAGTCAAGTCAACGACCACCTCATCTCAATCAGTCTGTGCTTACATCTCTCAATGGTCATGTGGGACAAAATCTTTCCTGGAAATAAACATTTAAATTTTTCAAAAATCCCTATGGAAATTTAAAACAAGAAATGAAACCATAATGAGACACCAATTACCTAAATTACATCAAATATAAAAGTAGATTCAAATCCTTTAAATTGTAAAACTCGGCAAAGAGCTCCTGAGACCCATCTTCAAACCCAATCAAACACCAGGACAGCAGATTTCACGACAGGAATACATGAACTGCTTCCAATGAAATGATGAATTTCATTTCAACTGGAAAACCAGAGGGACTGAATATCAAGCTGTCATTTCAAAAATTCATGAACCAGTTCTGCTTGTCCTTGACATGATGTGACACCTTCCGTGACGCTGATTCTAACCGACTTCCCTCAACAGTGGGACCGAGCACATTAATAATTTCTTAAATTTCCCTTGACTTCCTCTCAAGATTGCCAATTTACAGGTGTCAATTACATAATGATCCCTGACACCTCTTCGAGGTCTGATTTCCCAAGAGCATCTTCACATAAACATCGGTTGCTCAATGCTGGTCACAGAACATGCCACAACTAAACACTATATTCAAATATTTAAAAAAAATTTAACAAATATTAAGAACTCAAAATGATGCTAATCTGGTTTATGTTGATTAACACAATTTCAGAAATAACACTTCAACTGTTTGAATTAAGGATTACCAACCTGGCTCAAAGGTTCAATCTCCTGTCCTTGCTGCATCAAGGGATTTGAATCCTGAATCATGGCATCCTCCAGAAGGTGATGATCTGAAACACAGATAACTATTTCATCAGTAAAAACACACATCCTATTATCTGGTCATTTATTTCAAAGGAATTTGCAGTAATTAAAAGAGACAAACATTTCCACAGTTATTAAAAATGTGTGTTAAAAGCAGAGTTCATTCTGTGATCACGACTACATCACAAGCATGTGTTTTACAATCATTATCAATTAGTAATTATACCAGGTGCTTGAAAAAATGTGAGCAGATCCTGTACCACCAGGGGCATGTGATACAAACACATGCAAAGGCAGGTCAATTATTTATCTGATCAAATTACAAGAGTATATGGTAAAAGATGAAACAGGGAAACACATCAGAATAATTTTCATTCCTGATTTGTCCAGTTTAATACATGTCCTAGCTCTACATGTCTACTTTTAAACTTTTTGAAAGTGTTGCGGAGGCTTTGAATGTTGTTCTCTTGAACAAACAACTTTCCTAGCATTGTAAACATACCATTCAATTTTTATCCATGACAAACAGTTTGCTCATTTGCATGAATGTCTGTATTCCCTAGATATCTGAATTTTCATTTTAATGTCAGTCTTCAATCTGTCTCACAGTCCCTGAACCACATTGTTTTCACTGCTGCCTTGCCCTCCATGCAATGCTAAAGCTAGTCTGTCTCACAGTCCCTGAACCACATTATTTTCCCTACAGTCTAGCCTTCCATGCAATACTAAAGCTAGTCTGTCTCACAGTCCCGGAACCACATTATTTTCACTGCAGTCTAGCACTCCATGCAATGCTAAAGCTAGTCTGTCTCACAGCCCCTGAATCACATTATTTTCACTGCTGCCTTGCCCTCCATGCAATACTAAAGCTAGTCTGTCTCAGTCCCTGAACCACATTATTTTCCCTACAGTCTAGCACTCCATGCAATGCTAAAGCTAGTCTGTCTCACAGTCCCTGAACCACATTATTTTCACTGCTGCCTTGCCCTGCATGCAATGCTAAAGCTAGTCTGTCTCACAGTCCCTGAATCACATTATTTTCCCTACAGCCTAGCCTTCCATGCAATGCTAAAGCTAGTCTGTCTCACAGTCCCTGAACCACATTATTTTCCCTACAGCCTATCCTTCCATGCAATGCTAAAGCTAGTCTGTCTCACAGTCCCTGAACCACATTATTTTCCCTACAGCCTATCCTTCCATGCAATGCTAAAGCTAGTCTGTCTCACAGCCCCTGAACCAAATTATTTTCCCCTACAGCCTAGCCTCCATGCAATGCTAAAGCTAGTCTGTCTCACAGTCCCTGAACCACATTATTTTCCCTACAGCCTATCCTTCCATGCAATGCTAAAGCTAGTCTGTCTCACAGTCCCTGAACCACATTATTTTCCCTACAGCCTATCCTTCCATGCAATGCTAAAGCTAGTTTGTCTCACAGCCCCTGAACCACATTATTTTCACTGCTGCCTTGCCCTCCATGCAATACTAAAGCTAGTTTGTCTCACAGCCCCTGAACCACATTATTTTCACTGCTGCCTTGCCCTCCATGCAATACTAAAGCTAGTTTGTCTCACAGCCCCTGAACCACATTATTTTCACTGCTGCCTTGCCCTCCATGCAATACTAAAGCTAGTCTGTCTCTAGTCCCTGAACCGCATTATTTTCCCTACAGTCTAGCACTCCATGCGATGCTAAAGCTAGTCTGTCTCACAGTCCCTGAACCACATTATTTTCACTGCTGCCTTGCCCTGCATGCAATGCTAAAGCTAGTCTGTCTCACAGTCCCTGAACCACAATATTTTCACTACAGTCTAGCCTTCCCTGCAATGCTCAAGCTATTCTGTCTCACAGTCCCTGAACCACAATATTTTCCCTACAGCCTATCCTTCCATGCAATGCTAAAGCTAGTCTGTCTCACAGCCCCTGAACCAAATTATTTTCCCTACAGCCTATCCTTCCATGCAATGCTAAAGCTAGTCTGTCTCACAGCCCCTGAACCACATTATTTTCCCTACAGTCTAGCCCTCCATGCAATGCTAAAGCTAGTCTGTCTCACAGTCCCTGAACCACATTATTTTCCCTACAGCCTATCCTTCCATGCAATGCTAAAGCTAGTCTGTCTCACAGTCCCTGAACCACATTATTTTCCCTACAGCCTATCCTTCCATGCAATGCTAAAGCTAGTTTGTCTCACAGCCCCTGAACCACATTATTTTCACTGCTGCCTTGCCCTCCATGCAATACTAAAGCTAGTTTGTCTCACAGCCCCTGAACCACATTATTTTCACTGCTGCCTTGCCCTCCATGCAATACTAAAGCTAGTTTGTCTCACAGCCCCTGAACCACATTATTTTCACTGCTGCCTTGCCCTCCATGCAATACTAAAGCTAGTCTGTCTCAGTCCCTGAACCGCATTATTTTCCCTACAGTCTAGCACTCCATGCGATGCTAAAGCTAGTCTGTCTCACAGTCCCTGAACCACATTATTTTCACTGCTGCCTTGCCCTGCATGCAATGCTAAAGCTAGTCTGTCTCACAGTCCCTGAACCACAATATTTTCACTACAGTCTAGCCTTCCCTGCAATGCTCAAGCTATTCTGTCTCACAGTCCCTGAACCACAATATTTTCCCTACAGCCTATCCTTCCATGCAATGCTAAAGCTAGTCTGTCTCACAGCCCCTGAACCAAATTATTTTCCCTACAGCCTATCCTTCCATGCAATGCTAAAGCTAGTCTGTCTCACAGCCCCTGAACCACATTATTTTCCCTACAGTCTAGCCCTCCATGCAATGCTAAAGCTAGTCTGTCTCACAGTCCCTGAACCACATTATTTTCCCTACAGCCTATCCTTCCATGCAATGCTAAAGCTAGTCTGTCTCACAGTCCCGGAACCACATTATTTTCCCTACAGCCTATCCTTCCATGCAATGCTAAAGCTAGTTTGTCTCACAGCCCCTGAACCACATTATTTTCACTGCTGCCTTGCCCTCCATGCAATACTAAAGCTAGTTTGTCTCACAGCCCCTGAACCACATTATTTTCACTGCTGCCTTGCCCTCCATGCAATACTAAAGCTAGTTTGTCTCACAGCCCCTGAACCACATTATTTTCACTGCTGCCTTGCCCTCCATGCAATACTAAAGCTAGTCTGTCTCAGTCCCTGAACCGCATTATTTTCCCCTACAGTCTAGCCTTCTCCATGCGATGCTAAAAGCTAGTCTGTCTCACAGTCCCTGAACCACATTATTTTCACTGCTGCCTTGCCCTGCATGCAATGCTAAAGCTAGTCTGTCTTACAGTCCCTGAATCACATTATTTCCCCTACAGCTTAGCCTTCCCTGCAATGCTAAAGCTAGTCTGTGTCACAGTCCCTGAACCACATTATTTCCCCTACAGCATGATCCTTCCATGCGATGCTAAAGCTAGTTTGTCTCACAGCCCCTGAATCACATTATTTCCCCTACAGCCTAACCTTCCATGCAATGCTAAAGCTAGTCTGTCTCACAGTCCCTGAATCACATTATTTTCACTGCTGCCTTGCCCTGCATGCAATGCTAAAGCTAGTCTGTCTCACAGACCCTGAATCACATTATTTCCCCTACAGCCTAGCTTTCCACGCAATGCTAAAGCTAGTCTGTCTCACAGTCCCTGAACCACAATATTTTCACTACAGCCTAGCCTTCCCTGCTAAAGCCCCATATGAAGGAAGCCTAGATTTCCTCAGATTCTGAATCGCCCACCTCACTGGACTTTTTCAATTTAAATAGGTTTATTTGTGATCATCAAAATTACATATATTCAGAGACTAAGGGTTAGTCTAATCACCTGCCTACAAGTGAAAGGATTTTGTAGTTACCCAGCTGGGCCTAGATTTTCGAAGCTCTCTTAACGCTAAGATAGTCGTAAGTGCCATACATTAACATTAACTTACGACTGTCTTAGAGCTAAGAGAGCTTCGAAAATCTGGGCCCTGCTCGCTTGTATAATCAAAGATTTATTTACACAAAGCCAGCATCTGTAATGTTTAGAATTCCACAAATTTGTAAAAAGATGCTTTTCCTTTTCATGTAGACATTTCTTGGCTCCAGATCATGTTTTATTGTATGAGAAATAGGCAGCGGGTGCAGAATTCATTTAGCTTAGTTAGTGAGGTGGGTGAAAGTGGGGTTAAACCTCTAACAAAGAGAACAACGCACGATTCTGTGAACACATGAACCATCCTGCACTTTAAACAGTTATATTGCTTTTAAAAAAGTAAAGGATATGACAGACACTTTGCAATTTGCTAAATCAGAAACAGAATAGAAATAACCAAAGGTACAACTAAAAAATAAAAGCAGAAAAAATATCTGACAACACTGAAATGTCTGCACTCATTTGACTAAGTTAGGTCATATGTGATATAAAATTGGGTGTAATGGTGTGTTCAAGATTCTTACAATTATATAGAGACATGTGTTTTCTTGTCTTGTCGGGACTTAAGCTGGTTTAATGGTGCTAGCCCACTGAGATACCATGCTGAATACATTATACTGGCTTCGATCCAAACTGTTCTCGATTTATCCCTTTAATGCAGAGAGCCAGGCAGGGCAAAAACAAGTACATGTTTAGGTTTGATGCAGACAGGCATGGTTTTGGCATAACTGAATCTATAAACACATCACCTTGACTGTTTTTGGGGGAATAGTTAGTGCAGTAAGTTGTGGGAGTTAACCACCCACTAAGTTGCAGAGATGGAAGTGTTATCCCGTGAGTCTTCACCTGCAGCTTTGTCTGATTCAGATGCTAATATGGCATGTCTTTATGATAAAGTTTATCTTTTATAAGTTATTACAATGTTCCGCTGTTCATATAATTGTTCAAGAAAACCCTGAATGTTTTTAAGCATCTGAAAAACCATAGATATGTACGATGAACACTGCAACCTGCACTGAATTTTGCTAGTTTACTACTTGATTAACCTGAGCTCAACAGTGGATTTGTTAATGCTATTTTCTATGACGTGAAGATGTGTGATTGCTGGGCAAC